TTATGTTTTAATGCATATTGTGTTGTAATCAAAGCAAATGTCTATAAATCTAAACAAAATACATTTAAAACAACTGTACATGAAAATGAACACATACTAAGTTAGTTATGAGGAGAAACACAATAATAGATGTAACTATTGTTTTTGGAATATTTTGGGGTCAAATTTGTCCTAACGAGGGATGGGCATAAAGGTCCAAGTATTGATATTATTGATACCAATATGAGTGTTGGTATCTCAATTGAAAGTATTGCATCAATACTACAGCATTGAGATCTACAGTATTTTTTGTTTAGAGTTTATTTGCACTACTGGTGTTTTTTGTTAAAAAATAATGTCAGTAGTGCAGATTTCAAATTGTTTGGAGTAAGACATTCGTTTTTTTCATCATGCCCATGTGCAAAGGAAATCAGTTTTTGTTGTGTTGTTAACATTGTTATATTTATATCTTTGTTTCATTCTTGCTTCAATTTGTTATTTTGCACATTGTTTTATTTTGTTGTGGTTAGTTGATATAAAACATTTGTATCTGCCTAAGATCTTTGTCCTGTGTTTTGTCGTAATTGWCTAATTAAAAGGCAAAAGTCACAAAATTATTCAATGAATATGACAAGAATCGGTACYTGGCCTAGCTGGTTTTGTTTGAGATTTCTATTGGTTTAGAATGATGTTTCCTGGAATTTCAGCCCTACATTTAAAAGGAGACTCCCTAAGCTTCACAATGAGCCAAACATAATACAAAAGAATTTGCTATAGCAGCCAGCAGAGAAAATTTGTCAATTAAAAAAATAAATAAGATTAAAATTAAAAGAATTATTTCAGAACATATTACATGCTAAAAAAAAAACTCAATTTAAGGGAGATTAGGAAGAATATTTGCTATTGTAGTTGTTTGGATTGCTAGATGCTACTTTGTGGACTTTACTCAAATCTTAATTTCAACGATAATCAATATTTTAATTYTTATTGCACTGCAAACTGTCCTCATTCCAACTCATTTAGCCAGYGTGGATCATAAATGTTAAGTTAATCCAACAGGTTAAATCTTCTTACTGTTCTGCAGATGATCAGCCAAATCATCCTGCTTCATCCTCYTCAAGAAGTRCTGTGTGATCTTCACAATTGCTTGTCTGCTGCTCCTCATCTGCTCCTCTTCCTCACCTTCCAACACCTCCTTTTCACCCATATGAATTTCTGAGCRTTCTGGATAATCTGGAYTTAGAAYCTTCTGAATCTTCTTCAGCTCGTTCTTCACAAAAGTAACAATGCTGTCCTCCAGATGCTGGACCAGAATAAAATGAAWGACACGTCAGACTGAAATCATGACACCACACATCAGATCCATGTTGGACAAACTGACAAAGTACAGCAGAGAGAGGACTGTGAAAATAACAGAGGGAAACTTTCTTGTTTTATGTGTACAAACCATAAATATRAGGTCCAGCTGTGTTTGATGCTGCTGGTCACACTGAACTCTGGTACCGTCTGACTTCTGCTGGTCAACTCTGTGAAGGAATCATGAATTAGCTCATATTCTGTCTGATCACACAGAAACAAACACAAAGTGAAGTAATATCTGGATGTGAACAATGAATCAGAATAGTCCTAGTTCACTGGTTCTGTTGCCGATTGGACCTTTCAGCTCAGTTTAGTTTAGTTTAAAGTCATATATCTAACTTTACACAGTTATAAAWCAGACACAGCTCACCTCTCTGCAGCTGAAGATTGATCTGATGTAAAATCAATAAGATAACCAAATGAACCATCCCATTTATTAGACACACAGCTGGGTTCTGGTCCAGTTTTAGGTTCAAGGCTGTAAATAAAAATGTTTGGTGATATTAGTGTAGATCTCAGACATGGTAAAGAATTATGAGTTCTTTACTGACTACTTTAAAAGGTAGAATTGATGGAGATTTGTTTAATGTTTCAAAGTACAACATGGATGGATGGATGGATGGATGGATGGATGGATGGATGGATGGATGGATGGATGGATGGATGG